AGTTGGATAATGTAATGCAAACTACCGTTAACATGAAATAATTGTGATTTATTTATTTATTTATTTATTTTTTACAAATTTGAAGAAATAATGAACCGACATATCTCTTTTAGAATGTAAGAAATCCAGATTTTGTATACAGAGGGTTTAGTACAAGCTTTTTTGATACATTGAATTTTAACCATGTAATCTTTGTAAAATAAGGTGGCTTTCATAGGTTATTCTTTGAACTTATTTTGTGAAAGGCATCATCCTTTCATTAATGTTATCCCCCCCAATCCCTTGCCCCTTGTTGTCATAGGGAGGCTTAGGAAACAGAGACTGGGCCCAATATAGGGGATCACCTCTGCCTTGAACCTCAGCCCCCAGCTCAACTAATTTTGCATGGTCTTTTCTCCTTTTCTTTCCCTTACTTTCCCCAACTTCTTCCTCAGTCCAATTCCTAAAGTGTGGGAGCCGTGTTGAAAGGATGATTTTGGGCCAGTCATGAATGGCATCAGGAAGCCAGGGGCACAGTATTCCCTTAGTAATTTTCTAGCCCTGTTTATCATCCCCATTTATTTCAGGCTTCCCATGGCCAGTAATGAAGATTTTGTACCCGTGTTAAGGGCATTGAGGCTTGTCCCTTTATCAGTTAACCTCCCTGAATCAAACTCCTCTGGTTTACCAATCCCTGACTCCCCTTTGACCACTTCTCAGACCACTGCTACTAAACCCCCCTCGTTGACACCTGCTGTCAGCTTAACCCATCCTGAACCATCTACAGAGATAACTCAACCTCCAAAAGACACCCCTCCTTCAACTCCATAATCTTTGACCCCATCTGCACACCCACCTCCATTTCGTACATCCTCCTCCCTTGTTACAACTCTTCAACCTTATTGCCCTCCCCATCACCGCACTACATCATTCCACACCAGCCCCTCTTCCTCCCGTCCTCGTCCTTCTACAATATCCACCTCTGCAACCCTTTTGAATACTCAGTTTGGCCCAGCCAAATGGGACAGATTTCTTGCTATTCCCCCTACAGCCCCTACTCTGAAAATACCCTACTTTTCGAACATTGCCTCCAAAACAAGTAGGCAAAGTCTCCTTCCACTGTTGTCCAGATCGCTCACACCTTATTACAGTTACACGAGTCTCAAGCCCATGCAAAATCTTCCCTGGTTGACCTCACTGGAAGACCAATTTTCCTGAACCCCACCCCTCCCTTTATACTTGTACAGGAACTCTTTCAATTTCCCTAGGTAATTACCCTGTCTATAACAAGGATTGGTCAGACTGTGAAGAAGACCTACTTGCCTGCCTTATTGACTATGATGCTATATCAGTACAGTGCTACGACACCTTCCACTTTCTTCCATATCCTTCCTACTAAAAATCTTCAACAATATTTGGACGACTGGAAACTTTCCTCCTCACTGGCTCGAAGCACTCATTCTACCCTTTCTTAAACCTAATAAATCAGGTACCCTCCCTCAAGGCTACTGACCCATAGCCCAGACTAGCTGCTTGTACAAATTTTTAGAAAGAATGGTAAATTTATGCCTAATGTGGTATCTAGAAGCCAACAGCCTTCTCTCATCCTGCCAATTTGGATTCTGCCGTGCTCAAACCACAGCTGATCCACTTTCACAATCTGAAAATTACATTTCTTCCTTTGTATGCCATAACTCAGTATAAGCGGTTTTCTTTGACCTGGAAAAGGAGATACCACATTTTACAGCAGCTATCACCTCATGGCATTCGAGGGAACATGGATGTATTCATTATATCATTCCTTATTAATCGAGCCTTCTGAGTCAAATGTTCTTCAACTTCTTCAGCCTTTCCTCAATATGAAGGCGGCCCACAAGGTAGCTATTCCTCATAGCCTTAAACAACTTAATATCGGTTCTACCACCAGGTATCTGATCTTCCCTACATGTAGATGATTTAGTATCTTTACATCAGGTCCATCTATACCTACTCTCCGTCAACAAATTCATTCTGCAATATCTTTAACCTCTTCTTGGGCCACAAACCATGGCTTCCTCTCTTCCACGTCCAAATCCTTCTCCATCCTTTTTTCCCGATCATGTGTAGGTCCTCAACCTCCACTCTCTCTATTTGATGCACCTCTCCACTTCCGCTCATCTGGCAAAATGACTCCATACTTTCCTGTCAAGACCACATCCTCTACATCGAAGAGAAAACCCATCCTCTCCGATTCCTGCAGGTCCTCACTCACATATCCTGGGGTTCAGATAGCAAAACCCTACTCCATCTCCATACTTCACTGATTATCTCCACTCTTGACTATGACTATCATAGCTACTCTGCCTCTACCTCTCTTCTAACTCGCCTTGATACTATCCATCATTGCGGTCTATGATTAACCCTTGGTGCCTTCCGCTCCTCTCTTGTTGAGAGCCTAGACGTTGAATGCGGCCCACTTTCCCTATCCCGATGCCATGCACTTCTCTCTCTCCGGAGTTATGCACATTTTCACCAATTTTCTCTCTATAAACTAACTTTCCCTCTGTCTCTTATCCCTAGCTTTACCTCCTCTCCATGTCTACCTACTCCTTTCTCTGTCCGGATGGATGCACTCCTTCCATTCACCTTTTCTTCTCTACCGGCCCTTACCTTTTGCTAACCATAAATACCCACCTTGGCTGTCTCCCTCATTTTCTCAACCATACTTCAACCAACTCCAGCACTGACATTTATACAGATGGTCCAAATCCATCTCTGGCGTTGGTTTTAAAGCAATCATCCCCTCTCGTACTTTCCACTTCCACCTGAATTGTATGCGATCCTCTTCACATCAGAACATATGTCTATTTAGTAATAATACTTCCTCATCCTTCACAATTTTCACCGACTCTTAAAAACTTGTCTCTTATACAGTCTCTATAATGAATTAACCCTATTGTCTGCAAAATTCAGGACCATGCACCATAAAACTGTCAGTTTTTGCTGGATGCCCAGTCACCTTGGGATCCCCAGCAATAAACAGGCAGACACACTAGCACACTCTGCTGCCTTGTCCACATCCCATCATCCCAGATTTTCTTATATACCAACCTCAGATTACTACCCTCATGTCAAAACCTTCCTCTTTACCCGCTGGCAATCATTCTAGTCTGGATTAAACTACATAACATTAAACCTTCCATCTCTCCTTGGTCAATAGCATCCCATAAGAACAGACACTGGGAAACTACTCTTGCCCACCTACGCATTAGACACACTCGCCTCACACATTCCTATTTCATGTCACAATCCGATCCACCTCTGTGCTCCTCATGCAATGTCCCTCTTTCAGTCACACACATCCTACTATCCTGTCCCCGCTTCACAGCAACCCGCATTTCTGCTTTTCCTCACTTATTCTCACGTCCCCAACCCCCAGCCTATCGGACATCATCTCAGAACTCCCTACCTTTTCCTTTGGCAACATATTCTTCTTCCTTAGATGCATAAATTTTCCCATTTGATCTAAACACCCTCTATCCTTATCCCTCCCCCACCCATCAATAATTATCCTTCTCCATTTACTACTCCTATCTACCCCTTGCACTAACATAATGTCAAGATAGAGAGGCAAAGAGTAAGATTGGGATAGAGAGATTGAGACTGAGATAGACAGTGAAGTAGAGAGAAAGAATTGAGGTAGACAAAGATATAGAGAAGGGGAGAATGTGAGACTAAGATAGAGAGAGAGAGATTGAGGTAGTATGAGATGTGTTTGAGGTTTTGATAGAGAAAGAATGAGTGTGAGATAGAGAGATCTGGTGAGATTGAGTTTATGAGTGAGATTGAAATAGAGCATGAAAGTGAAAAAAGTGAAATTGAAATAGAAAGTGAGATTGAGAATGAGAGAGAGTAGGATTGGGAGAGATTTGAGAGAGGGGTTGAAAATGAGATAGAGGGAGAGGGGGGGTTGAGATTGAGATAGAGACAGAGGATTAGAATGAGAGTAAGCAAATGAGTTGGTTATATTGTGGATGTTATGGTAGGTAATTGAGCAAGTGGGTGGATGGGTGGGTGAGTGAATGAGTGGGTTATATAGTAAATGAGTGGATGGACAGGTGGTGAGTAATTGAGTGAATGATTGACTGGGTGGGTGAGTAATTGAGTGACTGGGTGGGAAGATGGCTGAGCGACTAATTGAATAAGTGGGCGGATGGTTGGGTGAGTAATTGAATGTGCATGTGCGTGTGCGTGTGCGTGTTCAAGTCAGTAAGAATTTTTTAAAAATGCAAAACACCCCTCAATGTTCATTGCAGTCATCCTAGAGTAAACACATTAGTATAAAAGATTTCCAAAATTTTAAATGCTTTTAAATGTCTACTTGTTCAAATTATCATTAAGTTCATAGCATCTATTGTCAATGTCAGTGTTAAGTCTAATTAAAAGTAACAAAAGCTAAATGGTGGGACAAAGGAACACAATCTGTTTCCAAATAGTTTTGGATTGCCTCCAAATCTGCCAGAAAAACATTACATGTATTTGTCCTTTATTCTTGTTTTATCCCTCCCCTTTCATTTCATAAGATATTTTATATGACCATTTTCTGTTATATGTAAATTGTCAGCTACAGGCAAACAGCATGTTCCTTTTATGTATCTGCTGTGTAAAAGAATGTAGAAATAAAGAATGTAGCACCAACTAAATTTTTATTTCTTCATATCTTAAATTGTTTACTACTCTTGTAATCTTTTACACATTAAATGTAAGCCATTACCCAAAGCTTTAGCAGGAGGATCTTACTTTTATTTACAAAATCTGTAAGACTTGTTTTAGAGAAATTTATGAGACATGTCCATCACTGTTACTTCTATATTATGTATTCTGACAATATTTCAAGTAACACATTGCAGAGAGTTCTGCTAAAATGAATTTTGTTTTATATCAGGGCATTAACATTAAAAGGCAATTATTTAAAAGAATTGCCAATGTTTTAATTACATTTAGCTTCAACTTTAACCATCAATGTTGCAATAAAACAAATGTCAAATGCAAATGCCTTTTATTCATAGTTAGTAGTATACTAATCCAAATATGCATTATATAGTATACTACCCTCAAAACTCCTTTCACTGTCCACTGTACATGGAATCTCTCACTCGTCACATATGCTGTACAAGTCTGTATAGCTGTAAGACTTTATACAATGAATTCAAGAATATGTAGTGCAATACATTAATAAATTTACATGATGCTGTCGAGTGGGCAGGGCATGTTGACTAGCATTTGCTGTTTAAGTTACATAATATAACCAGTCCCTACACTCATGTTAAAAAAAATATATATGCAGGTAGTTAGGTTTTAAAAACTATAATAAAATCAATATAAAACAGAAGGAAAAGTAATAAACCATACCACATGAAGTGACCTTCACTGATCTTATGAACTGCATGAAACTCAAATAAAACTTTCTTGGAAAATTTGTAATTTACAAAACTGCCCAAATGACAACTTGAGTCCATACACATCTATACATAGCAATCACTTATCAGCAGTAAAACTGCCAAAAAGAAAAATTCTCATTACTGATTCAAAATGAATTTCCTTAGTCATATCAGTACAATAAATATTAATTTTCTTTCAACATGAAATCATTATATCTGCTTGACTACAAAAAAACAAGGCAAGGAAGATATTATGCAATAGGCTGTACATCTGGCACCCAACTGTGGTGCTGGGAAGCTGGCACCAGCTAATTTGGAAGCTTACTTCCTGGAGATACTCTTTGTAATTTGTGCTGATATTTGTGGGGGATCATTGCCCTTGTCTCATCTTGTTCTTGCTCCTGCCACCACTCGACGCTGCATGACACAGAATAGCGCTAAGTTCACACATAGTACCACTTGGCAGCCACGTGGCTAACACTAAACAAGGCAAAGTAACAAAATAAAGAACAGGGAGCAACTAGCAAGACAATGAGACAGAACGTCGACAATGGCGTTGGCACTGTTTGCTGTCCTTGCCGCACACTATGGCACTATCATTCATACAGGTAATAATGTCAGTTCATACTGACCCCACACAATGAGTCACTTATTGTACATATTTAAACAAAGCATTTTTTGGTCAATTTGAGAACACATCTTTGTATATAGAGTTCATAGAAATAAAAACTATGATGTGAACAAACCTATGGCTAATGCTTAAGAATGACTTAAAACCTAGGACAGAACAGGAAATATATATATATATAAAAAAATTGATTTCCTAAATTTGAATAGAGTAAATGTATTATAACGACCAGCCAGATCACTAGACAATAATCAAAATATCAATCTCTTTTACAGTAGCAACACTGGAGGTACACAGACACAACTCGATGTGCTTGTGCAATGAAAATGAGGTTACAAAGTGATTCCCCTCGCAAATGCTGATATAACTTGGCAGGATGCTAACGTTATGAGAACGTTTAAATGATGATCCACAAGTGAGAAGCAGCACTGCTGTACACTGGAATGCTTAACGCCACCAGACTCAACAATTTGATATGTGAGCTCCTGTCACAGCAGGTAAATACATGTGACTATGGGACTCCACCCACACTGTCCTGAGAGTGATGCACACTGCCAGGGAGCTGGGACTTTACCCAGGAAGGACTGGAAAATCCACAGGAGGGATCACTTCACACGACAATGCCAGTAATTTGGTGAGATGATGCTCCTAAGGGGGCACCTCCAGAGTGCCAGGTGACTGGATATAATAAAAGCACCAGACACCACCACCAAGATCAATTCTTTCCTTAAACTGAACTGCACTGCAACTCCCTTAGGGATCATCTGACACTGCCTGACAAGTGCAACTCTCCACGGGTTACCCTTAATGATTCCAGCGGATTGGGGTTGGAATTCTAGCTTTCTCTAGGGGAAATGGGGAAGGGTAGATGGGAGGGGCTGGGGGTACCTGATATAACCAGGGAGGCAAAACTTCTCCCTGAGAGGCACCAGACATTGTGTGCTGAGTGACAGTCCTCCCGGGAAGCGACACACAATTCGGCGAGGGAAATGTCTTCCCAGGGAACACGTGCCACTGCCATTTAGAAGATGCTGCTCCATCTACCAAGTACTGACATGATGGAACCCTTCCTCTGTGGCACCAACTGTGGCAGGGCAAGAACTTTCACTCCCTTGTATGTGCTGGACTCTGCTCAGAAAGCACCAGGCTGCAGGTTAAACTTTACCCCAATAAAAACAATCTATTTTAAACTGTTAATCAAGTCTTTTGAAAATGATCAAATCTACATGATGGCACTCGATAACTGTGTGACAGGCTGGAATGTCAGATACCACATAGGTACTGGCATCTTGTCTGGTACTGGAGACACAACATGGAACATGAGCTTAATCTGTGACTAAAAGCTCTGGCTGTAACTCATGAGTTCCAGCCTGGCATTAGGCTACCTCTTATGCTATCCATAAGTACTCGAATGCTACGCTCATGAGAAGAGTACTCACCATTTAACAGTCTGTAAGCTGCATTAATTTACAT